TTAGTGGAATTTTCAGAGCACAAATAATAATTATTAAGAAATAAACAAAGTTAAAATGATTTTATAAAAAGAAAAACTCTAAAAAGTCCCCTTTCCCTCCCTCTCCCTCTTGGGCCGGCTCGGCCCATCTCCCTCCCCCTCTCTCCTCTCCCCCGCGGCCCATCCGGCCTCTCCCCGCGCGCGCGCCGCTGACGGGCGGGCCCGCCCGCCACCCTCGCTGACGGGTGGGGCCCACCCGTCATCCCCTTCCTCCCGCCGCTCCCGCCGCCTCGCCCGCGCCCTAGCGCCGCCGCCGCCGCGAATCCCGCTGCCTCCCGCCGTCCCCGCATGCAATCAATAGGGGGGAATTATTCCCCGGGATCCCCTCCCCTTTCCCCCCTTTTTTCCCTCCCTCTCTCCCTCGGATTCGTTTGGAAACCTCTCCCCTAACCTCGCCGACGCCATTAATGGCGGCCGGGTCTCCCGCGCCCATTTCCCCCTCCTCCGGCCGCCCTCTCTCACTCCCAACCCTATATAAACCCTCCCCGAGCTCCCCACCACCGTTTCCGCCACTCACCGCCCTCTCTCCCCGCCGGAATCGAGCTCGCGCCGTCGCTCTCTCTCTCCGCCGTCGCCGCCGAGCTCCGGTCCGCCGGCGTCGTCACCCCGGACCACCTCCCACCTCGGCGCCGCCTCCTTCGGCTTCGCCGCATCCTCGCCGACCTCGTCCACCTCTCCGTTTCGGTCGCCGACCGCCGGAGCACCGTCGACCCCGTCCACCCGAGCCACGCCGCCGCCCTCCTCCGCCCCGGTCGCCGTTTCCGTCGTCGCCGTCGACCCGGGGTGAGCCGTGGACCGCCGCTTCGTTTCCCCCTTTCCCTCCCCTCTCTCGGCCGCCGCTCCGCTGTGCCTATGGCCGCCGCCGGCGACCATAGGGGCGCGGGCGCGCCGCCTCCCGCCGGCCGCACCGACGTGGCCGCCTCCGGGCGCGCCTAGCGGCTGCCGCGTGGGGCCCGGCCGTCAGCCGCCCGCGCCCTCGGGTGCGGCTGACGCGTGGGGCCCACGGCGCCGGCCGGTGTGAGCCAGGTGCACCCGGTCCACCGTGGACCGTGGGGCTGCCGCGTGGGCCCCACTCCCGTGGACCCGGTCCGCATGCCCCTCCCCTCGGCTGACGCAATAAACCCTTTTTAAAATTAAAAATTTAAATGAAGAAATTCGCAAATATTCATTTAAAGAGCATATAAACTTCAAATGGCCATAACTTGGCCATTTGAACTCAGAATTGGACCGTTCAAGTCTCTAATTTTTCCTTAAGAAGTCAAGAACCTATTTTTGTGCTTTGTTTCAGCTTGTTATATGGAGTTTATTAGAGTAAAAGCCTTTTCTTTTCCATTGGTCGTGTAGACGCTGCAGCTTCGGACGATCCGCTCTTCGTGGAAGTTGAAGCCGACGTTTGGGAAAGCGAGCAAGGCAAGTCACATCATCCTTGAACATATTGAATCCCAGTTTATAAAATTATTTTGATTTAAATTATTGCATTATCGCTTTATTTAAATTCCCGCGTTATCACTGTTTTATCTAGCCATGCCTATTTACCTTTGTTATGACCTTATTATTGTTATTGTTATTATTTCCTTGTTCACCCTAGAATAAACAAAACCCCAACTAGTGGACACTCTACTCATGATACCACTAGTATGATTTTAGGTAGATGCTTCGCTGGTTAATTAGGCAACATTAGGTGGTTTTACAACTCTAGACTGTGGGATTTTCTCATCACCTGGACACTATGGAATGGTTGGATTATTGTGGAATTGGATTCACACCGCCCCCTCTATTCGAAATCCCCAAAATGGTTTTAGGCTGGACTCGGGGTGCATGGTTTTGATAGTAGCACCTCGGCCATATAAGGACCGGTCTTCGGGCCTCTGTTGCAAAGCACTACCGTACTTCCACATGTCTAGTGGGTAACGCTTAGTTTGTGGCTCAGTCTGGTTATAAACAAAAGTACACGGATGGAGATGGACGAAGTCGGGGGTCGATGGACATCTCTAGGACAAATGAAGGCTACACGAGCTGCGTCCCGGTAGTCGAGATGTCATGGCACAGGGCCGGTGTCCTGCAGCTAGGGGCTCAGTCCTGCCTACCTGTCCCGGGGGTTCCAGCCGTAGGTGGGGTTGGGTCGGTACTCTTGTCTATGGCTAGGATGGGTTGGAAACTATGTCACGTCTTCCGTCCGTATAACGTGGTGGTATGTGGCACGTGGTTACACGTGAGGAAGATGTGTCTTGTGGGTAAAGATGTACACCTCTGATCAGAGTATAATCTATTCGAATAGCCGCGCCCTTGGTTATGGGCAAGCCGAGCAATGTACCCAAGTTAGTGTTTTAATTCTTAAAACCTGCTTAACAACTAAAATGTGGAATGGTTGGCCTGGGTTGGCTTGGGACGAGCTGGGACCCAGGGTCGGGTTGCCAGTTCGGTCTGAATCATCAGAGGCCTTGGGTTAAGGCAAGCTCGTGTGGGTTCACGGCCTTGATTAATAATATTGTATAGCTCTGGAAACGTGTTTACAAAATAGCTTTGAGCAACTAAGTGTCTTTTAATGCTGTTTACTGCAAACCCTAACCCTTTATATCATAACCCCCTTCTACTCCTTTACATTTATCCTGCACTTGTGGGTATGTCTTGTTGAGTACGGTGGTTGTACTCAGTCTTGCTCAATTTTTCCAAACCCAGAAGAGGAGTCCCTGGAAGATGAAGGCTTTGGTGTCTAGCTCGTGCCTGCCGTCAAGCGCCTGTGGTCGTCGCCCTAGTCTTCCGCTGTTTCTCGTTTGTCTTTGTGTGTGCTGGGCCTTCGCTGCCCATGTAATAAATTAACTATTTACGCTTCCGCTTGATAAACTCTGAAATGTATCAACTTTTGGTGTACCTTGTCTCCTGGGACAAGGAATAATACACGCACGTAAGGAACGCCCGTTGGGTCAATCCCGGTCGTGACAGTGCATTAAAGGAGGTTCGGCTTGGGCCCCCTCCCCGCTTGCTCCCCCCGCCACCCGCTTGCTCCCCCCGCCAGATGGCGGATGGGTGAGGCCCTCGGGGCAAAACGGTGTGAGGGCCCGAGGGGCATGACGTGGCACCCCGAGGCCCCCTGGCCGCTCCTGCGATCCGCGGGGTACGGGGGTAGGGCCAAGCTGTAGGGTCACGCGGCAAGATGGGAAGGTAAATTCCCCTCATTCCGCATACCCCCGGGCCCACTTCACCGACAGTGGCTATATAGCTTGGATTTCCTATATATATATGTATATATAAATATATTTTGGATAATGATTTCCTATAATATATAATCCTCCCTCCGTCCCATAATATAAGGGATTTTAAGTTTTTGTTTGTACTGTTTGACTAATCGTCTTATTCAAAAAATTTTAGAATTATTATTTATTTTTCTTATGACTTAGTTTATTATCCAATGTGCTTTAAGCACAGCTTTTCGTTTTTTATATTTGTAAAAAAAAAAATTGAATAAGACGAGTAGTCAAACAGTGCAAGCAAAAACTCAAAATCCCTTATATTATGGGACGGAGGGAGTAGTAACTTTGTTACCTAATTCCTACTATATTCCTTTCTGAACTCGTGTGTTTCCGATAGGACCTGAAAACATATGCACCACAGAGAATTAAGTTTGCTCAGAACTCTTTTAAACTTGTACTACAAACTAAAAGAAATTCAAGTATTTCTGTATTTGTAGGCTTTCAAATCAGACCAATGAATGAACTATGTCGAACCATGCAAAAGGAAACAAACTAGTACTCCCTCCATCCCATTTTAAGTGTAGCCATGATTTTTGTGTCTAACTTTGACCATCCATCTTATTTAAAATTTTTTTGAAAACATTTAAAAACACAAGTAACGAGTAAAGTACTATTCGTATTTTATTTTTTCATAATAATAAAAATATTAATTATAAAAAAAAATTTAAATAAGACAGACGATCAAAGTTGGACGTGAAAACTTATGCTTGCACTTAAAATGGGACGGAGAGAGTAGTTTATATTTGTGTTGAGAACACATTTCTCTCCATATATTTTATATATGTGTTGAAGTTCTAAACCAGAAGGAATCGTTTTCCTGCCTCGGCCATGAGATGATGAAAAAGTTGCCTAATGGTTAACTGTTAGGAGTACTATTACCGATGGCATTTCTTGGTGGCCGTAAGCTAGTCATAGGGAATTCTAGCAAGCATATGTTAAATTGGTGGATATACAGATCTAAGCATATGTTAAGCATATGTTAAATTGTGAAATTCACAATCTCGGCCAAAAACTTATTAAAAGATTCAAGTTTGTATCGTACATGTTTTTAATGAATAATGACATGAACCTCGCAAAAAAAATGAATAATGACACGAAATTCCTCAAGTTTTTTATTCCCTATAAATGACTATTCCATGGTGCATCTACGAAGATAATAGAAACAATATATAGGATATGATATTTTTAGCACGAATAGGAAAAGCGAAAAAGAAAATCCTTGTAATTCGAATTTCTTGTTTAAATTTAAAATTTTGCTTGACAGTTCATTCAAAATTTCTTCTCTTCCGAGATTTCTTCAAAAGGAAATCCTATGTAATTCATCATGTCTACCTTTGGTGTGCCATTCAAATTATTTATTGCATTTTCGATATTTCCGTTATCGTGTTCTCTACTACATTTCCTTTGTTCCAACAAGTACAGGCGCCCCAACAGAAAAAAAATGTTTACAAACAAGATTATCCTGTGATTGACACTCGAGATCAAAGATGGCCCCTCCTCAGATGCCATCTGTTTAAGACAATGTTGGCCTCAAAATTAATCAGTGAAAACGACACACCCTTGAGACACAAATTAAAGCGCCCGCATCGTAACTGACATAATCATCAAAAGGCCGGAAAATTAATCGACAAGTACGTACCTGTGAACAGTAAAAAAATCATGTCTCGATCGATCGATCGACATGATCGAGCTCGACCTTCAAGTTTACAATAATAAAAAAATTAAGGCAAATTAAACGAAGAACAAACATACATATATAGCAGCCAGTGGCATAATTAGCCGTGAAGCAGCCCAAAAAAGCTTACTCCAAATTGAACTCACAGTACAGTAAATCTTACCTAGCTAGCTCACACTTTTCTCTTAATTATTCTTTCTCCTCTAATCTCCTCTTGATGTTTCTACCTCACTCTCTCTCTCACTCTCTAGTACAGTGCACAAAGTAACAGAGATCACAAGACTCGAACAGGAAACAAGACGCCAAGAGACATTCCAACTGGGGGGCAGTGTACGATCGATCGAGCGAGCAAGAACAGGCTAACGCACTAGCTGCAAAAAGCCTGCACCTCTCTCCATCTCCATCGATTGGTCTCTCTAGCTTGGTGCCAATCGATCGATCGATGGATGCATGCAGAGATGAAGTATAGCTTTTCTTTCTCAGCTCCGGACAAGCCCGCAGGACAGCGTCATGAGCAGCATGGCGGCGTCAGTGATCTCGTCCTGCACCGCCGCCGCGAAGCCGGGAGCCACCGGTGACGGCCGGAAGCTGCAGGAGGCGGTGGCGGCGGCATGGGTCTTGCTCCAGCTGAGCCCGATGCTGTCGACGAGAGTACCACCCCTCGTCGTCGGCGCCGGGGGCGGGGCGACGGTGGCGGACTCGGCCGTCTCCTCCATGGCAGCTGCGGCGGCTGCGTTTGTGGCGGCGGGCAGCGTTTGATGATCCTCGACCTGGACGACCTTGCACCGTTTCTTGAACGGCAGCGACGACCGGTCGACGTCGGCTCTCTTCTCCTTCTTCACCTTCGGCTGCGCAGCCGCCACCGCAGCGGCGCCGCTATGTGCGGCCGCCTTGGGGCCGGCGGCGTTGGGGGACGCTGGTAGTCCGGAGGCCATCATCGCCCGCCGCGCCTTCCTCTGCCTGATGCCGCACGCGTTGCAAAGCGACTGCACCATGGAACAGCCATGAAATGAGACACAGCTGCAGTATACGCAAGCAAAAGCATCCATGGCGCCATGGCCATGAGTGAGACGAAGAGGTATATAAGTACCTTGGGGCCGCACGGGCCACTCCTCCACAAGGGAGTCTTGGTGGTGTTGCAGTCGGAGCACACCCTAATCACGCCAAAAGCTTGGCCCATGGCGCCGCCATGGCCGTGATCCTCGTACGCCTGCGCCGGCCTCCTCCTCGGCTTCTTCGGCGCCACCGTCGTCGCAGCCCCGCCAGTGACACCGGACGACGGCTCACCCATCTTCCTCGTGATCTTCATCTTGGCCGCTGGCACCGCGCTCCACTTGCCGCCGGCGACGACCTTGGCTAACCCGCAGCTCGCCTGCAGCTTCTCGGTATCGTATGGATCGAACTGCGACCGCTCGATCATGTCGTCGCGGATGCTCTTGACGGTCGGGAACGGCGTCGCAAAGATGCCAGCGGATGATCCTCCAATCATCTGATGATTTAACAGCAGAAGAATTAACATGTCAAACAAACAATTTGACAAATCAACACATGATTAAGACTTGAACCCCTAGCTATAGCTACATATAGGTACAGATTAGACGGTAGAGCTTACATTTTGGGGCTCAAGCATGGCTTGATGCTGATGCTGCTGCTGCTGTGTCAAGTGATGGTCTGAACCATAGCTTAGAGTGGTGCTGTCGCTAGGGCTGCTGCTGCTGCTTCTTCTACTGATCACAAAGGGGAATAAGACTGGGGGATCCTTAGGCTGCAGGGAGAAGGCTTGGAAGTGGCCTTGGTGATGATCCTGGTGGTGATGGTGGTGCTCCCCCTCCATGAGAGGGAGAGCAGCTGAGAGCTGACTCATGTAGATGGTAGACATGAGAGGCAGCAACTGCCTAGCTACTAACTAGATCTCTCTAGCTAGTTTGCGAGTACAGATATTGGATAAACTCGCAGAGATCGATCAGGATGAGACCGCGAGGAAGATGAGAGAGACGATGGTACGCTTCGCGCGACGAGTGTTGATGCGGTTGGAGGGGCAATTTTGCGAGGTCCAGCACGATTAAGGATGCTAGAAGGAGGTATGTCCCTTTTATAAAGGAGCCAAGAGAGAGGACTCTAGGCCGCGTATAGATCATTCGTGTGTGATCCCTTTCAGAGATAGAGGGAAGGAGACTGCATTGTTGTTTCTTTAGAGAGAGAGAGGGGAGCACAGGAAAGGGATGAACTGTAGATCATATCCGAGGGGAACAGTAAAACACGTCGGCTGCTGTGCAAGCACACACGTTAATTAATTCAGGCAAGAGCAACAAGAAAAAAAATTAAAGGATATATGCGTGTGATGGTTACGTGCTGTATCCTACGTGGCAGACATGCTCGAGAGCACTGTGCCCTCAGATTAGGGGAAAGCTAATACTGTGGTTTTTCTCCCTTGGCACTGGCAGAGGCCTGATTGACCGATATTCATTGTGGTCGAGTTTTAGCTTAAAATTGGGAGTACTAATGACTAATTGGTCCATTTCTACATAAATGGAAGAACAAAGGTAAGAGCTTCAAACCAAAAATGTATTCTTTACATTATAAATATACAAGCTTATACATCCCTACCAATATGCACTTCTTATTAGAGCATCACCAACAACATCCTAAAATTTTATTCCTAATTTTTTTATTATGGGAATCCTAAACAGATGATAAAATTTTCCTCTCCAAGAGATTGGGTAAAATTGGTTTCCTAAAAACTAAAAAGGTGGGCCACAATAAAATTTCCACCAGAAAAATTTGTTTTGCAGCAGCTCCTCCAGCGAGATCGCGTGTGCCGCGAAAAAGAAAACGCCAATCCCGGAGTATAGAATAGAGAATTTTGAGTATGAGATTAGGGAATTGGAACAAAATCTTAACAAAAAACCTCATATTACTTGACAGGGAATTATATAAAGATTATGTTGGTGATGATCTTTAGATCATCATCAGTAGGATCTATAAATCGTTCCTAATCCTGGATTTTAGGGATTTTTTTTGGTCAAAAATCACAACAACAGGATCTGTAAATCGTTCCCAATCCTAGATGTTAGGATTTTTGTAAAAAAATCGGTTCCAACAGTTTCCCTGTCGGCTTTCCCGGTAAACGTTCCCAATCCTAGATTTTAGTGATTTTTGTCAAAAAAAAAAATTGGTTCCAACAGTTTCCCTATCGGTTCTCCTAGTAAATCGAGTTCCCAAATCTTGATTTTTTTTTCTGTTCTTCACTGCGGATAATGCCAGGGCTCGGGCGACCAGCGCGGGGGAGCGAAATTGGGCGCACAACCCCCCCCCCCCCCTCCCCCGGCGACGCGCGTTCCCCCTTGGGCCCCACCATTTGTCATGCCTCCATCTGCCACGTGTCCCTACCAAACACGCTTCACATATTGTACTCACAATGTTTCACTATGTATAGATTTAACGTTGCAGTGAATTAAAACATTTTTTTCAACGAATCACCCATATATTTTGGAAACCCTCTATTAAGGGGATTCGTTTCATTTTTTGTTCCACCAAAAATATTTCACATAGTGTACTCACAATGTTTCACTATGTATAGATAAAATATTGCAGTGAACGAGACATTCTTTTGCAATAAATTACCCACATATTTTGGAAACCCTCTATTAAGGGAATTCGTTTCATTTTTTGTTCCACAAAAAATGTTTCACCTAGTGTACTCACAATGTTTCACTATGTATAGATCTAATGTTGCAGTGAACTGAAATTTTCACTATTTGCTGAAACATTGCTTTTATATAAGGTGAAACAACACCCGATTTAAATGATTGAAACATTTTTTATATACTTAGTGAAACAATTCTGATATACTTTGTGGAACATCGTGCAACATTTAAAAATAATTCAATAATAAGCTAAAAAAATTTCGTCGGAATATATCCATGTGTGGTCTTGTTTTGAAGATTTAATTGCAACGAATTTAATGGTGCAATCGGATCATGATTTGGATAAGTAATTTAAAAGAAAAAATAGTTTAAAGTGGTTTGCACATATGCGTGACGCCCGACCGGGAGTCGCGTCCCACTTGTAGGGAATCGGTTTCCTTCCCAATCCACCGCGAGTCGCGCGACGAGTGTAATCACTAGCAGTGGGCGATCGTGATGTTGCGGGAGGACAAGATTTTCATGGGTAGTTTCTAATGGGACCTACTTTTTTCTTTTAGGAAATCAATTTTAACCAATTTCTTGGAAGAACTATTTTGACACATCAAATTCTCTTTAGGATTTTTCAAAACAAAATTTTGGGATGAAATTTAGTGGACCTCTTGGTGGTGCTCTTACAGAGTTACCTTCAAAAAGCAAAATTTGCTAAAGGATATTCAAAGGTTGTGGTCTTTGCTCCTAGATTGGATTCATGGCATCATAAAATGCCATAACTATTCATATATTTAGAATCATGTCATTGCAATTCTACATGAATTCGAGATATGCTACTACATACCCCTTTATCGTATTTTCTAATATTTTAGGACCAAATTACCCCTATCCTTCATCCTCTTCTTCGTTGTTCTTTCCTACTCTCTCCGGCTAAGCTTGGCATTCATCTCGCTGGCGGCGGAGCTCGGCGTCCCTCTCTTCAGTCTACTCGTCGCTCCACCCACGTTCGCCTCCCTCTCTCAGGCGTGAAGAGGGCGACGGAACCGACAGTAACGAGGAGGCATAGGGGCAGTGGGCTCAGTGGTGGGGAGACATAGGGGAGGCGGGCTCTGTGAAGGGGAGATGCAAGGCAGCGTGCGTCCCTCTCGCCGACAGAGGAGCTTGGCGTCTCTCTCCAGTGCTGCTCGTCGCTCCGTCCACGTCCACCTCCTTTCTGACGTGAAGAGGACGTCAAGGCACATGGGCGACGAGCTCAACAGTGGGGAGGCAGGGCTGCGGGCTCGAACCTCAAAGATGGGGAGATACGGGGGCGGCGAGCGTCCCTCCCTCCGACACTGCTCATCGCTCTGCCCACATCTGCCTCCCTTTCTCCGGCGCGAAGAGGACAACGAGGCCTATGGCGGTGTGGAGGCACAAGGGTGGCGGGGAGACGGTGAGAGGGGTGGGCGACGGGGACATGCTGGGGCCGTGTGCTCGGCGACAGGGAGATGCTGGGGTGGCATGCTCCTCCTCCTCCACTTGTCTATAGTGGCCACAATGATGAGGACTGATGTTCTCCTTGAACCAAATCTAGCAAGTTGGGAACGACAGTTGTGCGCTCAAGTTACTGCGCCGCTGATGTGATGGCTGGCAAGGGGAGGAAGAGACCGGCTTAGGACAGAGGTGGCTATGGTGGCTGGAGTTCACTGGAAATAGGAGGAGAGGAGGAAGAAGGGGAAGAAGGAAGAAAGGGTAATTCAGTCCAAAAAAATATGACAAATGCATCAAAAGGTAAGTAGTGGCATATCTAGAACATCAGTCAAATTGTAATGTTTTGTTTACAAATAACTAAATTGTAATGGTATTTTTCAAAACATATAAATTTATAATGGCATGAATCTAATTAACCCAAAAAAGATACCATGGCTCTAAGACACTTTGAAAAATGATAATTTAGTCGAGAACACTATAACTATTATTTTATCAGTTCAGAACCAAATGACAAGAGAAACAATTAGAACAAACTCCCGCATGCATTAATACGTAACTGCCACCGTGGACGCCATCACCTATTTCTAGGGTTTTGAGTAGGGGATAGGGAAAGAGAAGTGCTCAGGACTGGTTTGAACCAAATTCAACTGGATTACATGTTGCTTCGGTTTCTTGGGGCGAAAAAAATATACACCCTCTAAATTGGAACTTAGGGTGTAGTTCATTTCTCCAGAGAATCAAGAAAAATTCATGGACTTAAAAGGGAGACTTAAAATTCAGGAACAAGCAAATTAATAACGTCCCCACGTCCAACGTAATCACAAACTACACGGAAGGCTCGATCAATATAGTAACACACATGCAGTGCTAAATTAAGCTTCAAAAGAAAATTGATAGAGAAAAGCTTAATTTAGGGCATTGAATCGCGAGTACCTGGCTAGATGCATGTGGTAGTATATGTATTCTGCTGCACTTGGTACGTTGAGATCTGCCGAACTTGGCGGATAGTGGCCGGTATGCAGCAAAATGCCTCCTCATGCAAAGATTTAGACACGATGCACATCAATTGCAAAGATTTAGAAAAACCAAGATTCAACTAATCACTCTTAAGCAGTATTTTTAAAACATGAAAAGGACTTCAAAAAAATATAGTAGTACTTTTTTAAAAGAAGAAACTAAAATGACTTCAGAAAAGTATAGTAGTTATGCTAGTAATAAGCGCAATATCAATATTGCATACACTCTCACAGGATAAATATATATTGCTGTAATGTCAAGAAATGCAAATTGCAAAACCCCTCCATGTAGTACATGCATGTCGGCAAGCAAAGTGTAGGGGTCCGGCCAGCTAGTTGCCGATCTCTCTTGCCCATCAACAGTAACACGCTACGTTTGGATTTATCCGGGACAATTATATATGTGATACATTTTCCCTGGAAACAAATACCTAGTACTTCAACTAACTATTTTTCAACAGTACTATATATATATGCTAGCCCTCTAAATACCAATAAATTAAAGGTTTCGATACCACTAATAATACGTGCAATAATTAAAATCCTGACAACTACGTACGTACAATTACGGAACTGTTGGGAATTAATAACCACATGTGAATGATCCCTTCTCCTTGAACTAATAATGCGTGCATAAGACATATATATACATGTTCGGTACTATTGTAGCGCGTCTAGGTGATCCACTGGATATATGTAGATGCCCCAGTTCAAAGGTAGAGCGCGCGGCTGTGTGCATTTCATATAGATAGGTTGAAAGATGTACTAGATTCATTTGATTTTGCATGGATGCGGCGGATCTCTGCTGCCTGCCTCTATCTTCGCTCTCCTCCTTTTGGTGTAGACAAAAGAACATTATGGCTTGGGCAGGCAAAGAGACGCTTCCTGCCCCCCCCCCCCCTCCCCTTGGCCTACTATACTGTACATGTGAGCATGCATGCATGCATTGTTCATAGCTCATCATGTTTAACTAATTTCTCAGTGCCAGATCTATGTCCCTATAGGAACATTTCTTTTTCCATTTTGCACTGTTATAGATAAATCCAAGAATCATTGCCATGTCAACAAAATCGAAAGTAGATCATCAAGATCCCCGGTAAATCAGTTTAATTTTATATGTGTTGACCAGCAGTTATGTTTACAATTAAAAACAAATGCTTATATGTGTATGGGTCAAATTCATTCATGGTGCACTCTAGGATTTCCCACTTCCTTGTGATATTGACTTGTCAGGTAAATATCGAGTTCTTGACAGATAGGCGCCATTATTATTTGGGCAAATCCTATAGGCCTTACATGATTGTGCTATACTCAGACGCATTTGTTTATCTTATCTGTATATATGGACGCAATATATCTGTAACAAACGGATAAATTCTAGGCTCTATTTTTTTGCAGATTAGGAAGTTAATTTTTAGCACTTGAACTTTGCTCCCAGTGCATTTTTCACCCTAAACTATAAAACCGGTCATTTTTCACGTTCAACTTTTAAAACAGGATGCATCACTGGTGGAGAAACCATCTTTGGTCGGTCGACCCAATTACACAATAGTCCCGGTTGCGATAAAAATCGGGACTAAAGATCTATTTTTAGTCCCGGTTGTTTATACCAACCGGGACAAAAATGAGCTGCCGAGCGTCTGCCGCTACCCTCTCCTCGGTACCCCTCCCCTTTTTTCTCTCATTCATTAAGACTCCCTCTCCTCTTCCATTTTTTCCTCGGTATCCCAGCCTCCCTTCATCTCCCCTTCCTCCCCCTTCCCCTCTCCTCCGATTCCCCTCCCCACCTCCTCCGATTCTTCCCCTCTCTGCTGCGGGCCGAGCGGCGGCGACGGAGGTAGCCGGCCGCACAGCAGGCGGCCGTGCGGCGGACGGGTGGCAGCGGCCGTGTGGGAGCCGGTCCGGCGGCGGCGGCCATGCGGTGGTGGCGGAGTGAGGCGGCCATGCGGCGGTGGCGGAGCGAGGCGGCCGGTGGGGCCGCGCCAGTCGGCGGCGAGCAGGCGGCCGGTGGCGGCGGCGGACGGGTAGCGGCGGCCGTCCGGGAGCCGGTCGGGCGGCGGAGGCCGTGCGGTGGTGGCGGAGCGAGGCGGCCGTGCGGCGGTGGCGGAGCGAGGCGGCCGCACGGCAGGCGGCCATGCGG